GGATCGGTGGCCCATTGGCGGCAATCGGAAGCGAGCTCCTCGCAGATGTCAACTCAGTGCGAGTTCCATTGTCGCAAGCCGTGAACGGTTATGATGCCCGCGCATTCGACGTCCGACTTGACAGTGCTGAGCCACGTCTTCACCTGACCGCCATGTCGGTATCTCTAGTTTGCACTACAAGGGAGGTTCACGACCAGTCTGTGGAGGTCCGTCGATGGCTTGCGCAGGATATGGCCAAAACATTGTAATCGGCGATGCTGGAGGTATGATGCTTAACTTTATAGTTTGAAACACCTGCGATATAGCTCAACATTGGAAATTCGATACCGCCAGGAAACTCTTAGGAGGCGTCGAAGACACCAACAGTCAAAGGCTTCGAGCAATAGGATGTCTGCCTTTCTCACTGGCCATGTTTCGCAGGCATATACTAACACCCGTCAGATGGATAGTCTGTATATTGCAAACTTTCATTGTCAGGGGTGGATTCTGTATGGCGCCTCACAGTATTTATGTATGTCAAAAGTTCTGCGGTTCTGTTGACTCTGCGTCTATTTTGTGTAGGATGCACTACGGGGAGGGGAAGTTGATCTTCCTCCTCGCCAGTGTTTTTTGCCCCCAGCTCGTCAGAAGGGGAGGGGGGCGGTGTCGAGATGGCAACGGCTATTGATCTCGTCCGCATTGATCGCGTCTGTTGTTCAAGGCCTCTCCACGATTTTTGATGCGCTTATAAGTTCCAATGTGTTTTATAGAAAATATGCACATGCATGCCATTCGTCAGCCAGGCCGTCGTCTGGGTTTGGGCGACCTGGAATTCTGTTCTTCCTCTTGTACATAAACTGTCTTCATTATATTCTATCTTTAAAAATACGGATAATGTCAAGGGATGTATTCGTTTCCGTATGATGGGCGTTAACATTTTTTGGGCAGCATACATTTAAAACCGTTCGTTAATTTTAAAATCATCAAAAACCGCTGGCCGAGCTACAAAATATATTTGAATTGACTATTACTAATTTTGTCACAGAGTTACTGTATTTTAAGTTTATATTTTATTCTACATGACGGCCTATAGGGAATTTGATTTTTTGCCAATTTTTTTGTTTTTTGTGGTTGTATGAAGTGAATAAAGCACGTTTTTAGCTGTAAGATTCTTCCCAGTTTAATTTAAAAGGGTGACTGGGGGGACTGGCTTTCGGAAACAGCTGATCCATACAGGGCCATAGTTCACTGTAAATGATGCTGAACTGAAGGGCAATACATTTAAGCAGCCTATAGAGAGAAAATTGGGGCGAAAGGGAGTTAGCGCAAACCAAGTCGTGATTAAAATTAGCTGCCCAATTACCTTGGTAATTGGAGATTGACCACGTGGTCTAACTGCTTGCAAAAGTCAGGTTTCTCCCGTCCTATGGAGGCCGCTTCCAAGTAGCGTAGGGTCCGATTTGTTCGTGCCCGAACAAGTACTCGGAAAGCTGTTGTGAGGTCAACAGATTGACCACTGACCTTTCTGCTACTCATGCCTCTGATGACGAATCCGCGACGGATATCGAAAC